ATTCTTACAGTTCACCAGCAGCACCTCACGAGACCAAAACTAGGTCTGCTCTAGGCCCTGTATTGCTGATGGACTCAACTGTGCAATTCATACGTGCAGCTTGAAGTTTCTTTGATAGCAAACATCTTATTTTCAAGTTATTATGTAGGAACCTCAGGCTGTTGGCTGGCTGCTGTTCCGGCCTTGAGCAACCCAAAGTTCGGATACTCATCTCCCAAACTATCCAGGATATTGCCTTGTGAATTGCCTCTAGTTGGTGTGTTCAGCAAGTCTCATTACATGCTGTTTATTTTTTATCCTTAACCAGTGTAATCTTCAGCTTGTCCGTTAAACATCTCTGCTCGGAAGAATTCATACTTTTGAACACTGTGGCTTCAGGGTTGTTGAGCCGGCTATGGTTTGTGTATTCAAAAGTCTGTCTTGTTTATTGTCTGTCTGTTTGATGTGCCTGTCAGGGAGAAGGGCTTGTAATTAGGCCTTGCTGCTGAGTGAGCTTTATTCAGTTGGGAGGAGGAGGGGGGCTCCCTCCATCCTTTTGGACTTGATTCTAGCACCTGAAGAGTTGTGTAAGTGGAGAGAGACTTCTTACATGCTGTTATGGAAGGCTTTGCTCTTGGTTCATGGCAAACTTTACGTGGTGCTAATAAAATCACAGTGTTAATACCAGCCTGCTACAAACACTAACATCTGGTACTCTTTGCACCAAGCAATAAGTCCTGCCTCGTGCTGAAATGGAAAGGCTGGGATAAAGTTGTTCTGTAATACTGCTGAGTTTTCCAGGGAAATCAGTGTTCTGGTCTCTCTCAGTATGAGAAAGTAACTGCTGTCTGTAGCTGAAGGAGTAACAGCATTGTGTGGAAGAACTCAGTAAAACATACTTTGGCACAAGAGATCTGTCTCCCCAGTAAGCAGGCGATTGTACAGCACCAGTGCTAGCACCATTATCCTGAGTTGCTACAGGTTGCTTTTGGGGGGAAGACCTCATGTCAAATGATTTGGACGTGACCCGAGAACCTGATAAGTCTCGGGTGCAGCACTCAGCAAAGCTCTAGGGAAGCAGAGGGGCTCCTGATCAGGTATTTACTAGCCAAGTCACTCCTACATTCTGATCTTGAACAGTTCCTTAAAGCTCAGACTAATATTAAGGAAAGTGTGGTGATGGAGTGTAAAAAGATAAGCGTGTATTGAAGGGGAATAGGGAAAGGGCAGCTTGGATTTCTTCCATCAGCTCTTCCGCTTGAGCTGAAGGTAGTTGTTCAGTGAGCACAAGGTTTTGCTAGAGGAGACTCTATCTTTTTGTCTTTTCTCTTCAGGGTTCAGTACAGGTGTGTATTGCAGAGCCTCATGTCCTTGTATGGCATGTTGTCAACATCACTTCATCTGGTATCTGAGACCCAACAGGTGCCTTACATCAAGGGGTTTACCTTCCCTTCTGATATCAGTAACTTCCTTGGAGTTAACATTTCTTCTGAGGTGAAGAAGCAAAAGGCTAGAATGCTTACAGCAAAAAAACCTACCAGCTGGCTGAAGAAGCTCTTCCCAACAATGCCAGAGGCAGCATCAGAGGTCGGCAAAAAGAGAAATTTTGCGACCTGCACGCGTGCTGTGAAAAGCTGTAGCATCCCATGCCCCATAGACATCGGAGAGGCAGTTCTGGTGACCAGAGCCAGCAGAGGTAAAGCCTTGTGCCACAGTGTTACTGGTTTCTGACATCTCGGAGACTGACCGCAACTTCTGTCCAACAGTGCCAAGCACTTCTACTACCCACAGAGTGCGGTTCTAGTACAAACTCCCCTCTCCTGTCCTTGGAAGAGGAGGAGAATGCTGCATGTACCCTTGCCTTTATAAAGCTGTGGATAATGTCAGTATTGTGAGGTGATTTTGGGGGGTTTGTTTTTGTGGGTTTTTTTTGGTTTTTTAAACGTGATACAGCCTGGAGAGAAGCAGGTAATGAATGCAGTATACAGGTCCTGTAAATAGTTATTTGCATTTTCCTGCTTCTGCATAGATGGGGCTCAAGGATAGTGACGGAAGCTAAGAGCACTGTCTGCAGTCCATACAAGAGTAGATAAGGCTGTAAGTACAGGATGCAAGTATCCTGTGCTTGCTGGTTCTGGGCTGCGTCCAAGTCTTCCCCTGCAGTCAGGGCTATGGCCAGTGACTGCAGGCATCCAGGTGTTTGCGTGAAGCTTTTACCCATTAAGTTCTCCTTTGCAGCTGTCTGTAAATCTCTGCATCCTCTTTATCCCTTGCCAGCTGCCATGTGAGATAAGCATTGTCCCCTTGAGTTTGCCTGGAAATGCTGAGTACAGGTGTGAGCGTGCTGAGACAGCGGGAGATCTGAGCTCAGCAGGGCAAAGCACTGCGGTGTCTCTGTGCAAAGACTTGAAACTGTCTTTACTTCATAATGGGAACTCTTATATCCCTTTGTAGGGAAGCACCTGGGATTTGATGTGAAGAGCTTACTTGGACCATCCAGACCTCCAACACAAGAGGTTTGTATGGTACCGTTTTAACTTTTTTTTTTTTAAACTTTAAAGACCCTAACACTCAAAACGTGATATCTCTGATTGAAAATGTCCCCTTTCCCTGCCTTATTTTTTCTTGTCTAACAATCCAAGTTAGCGTGGAAGCTTTGCACTGGAAATCACTATGAATATCTGCTTAGGAATTGTGAAATGACCAGAGAGCAAGTCAGTGGTAGACAGGAATATGAACCAATTATCTGTCTTTGTATTCCGCAAAACAAGACTGCTCTTCCACTTTCTCCTTAGGAAATACGGAATGTTCTTACAAAAACTTCAGTGCTCTGCTCCTCTCCAGCAGAGAGGATCAGGCATGTCATGTTTTTAAAAGACTGTTTTTGTTATTCTTTGTTTCAGGGTATAAGCATTGCATCAACACCTTTTAAAGTAAAGTCAGCACCGCTTTCCTCTCGTATAGCAAAATTGCAGCATGCTGGATCTCTTGTACAGATGGTCCAAATAGCTACGTCATTTGGGGAGCTGTCAGAGGCACTCAGAAAAGCTATCCTGTGGTGCAAAGGCAACAAATTCAAATCAGAAGCTTATTTTCTGCGTAACAAGTTGTTGAAAAGCAACCGGCTGCACCACGTAGAGGCTCAAGGATGCAGGTAATTGTGCACGGGTGTGGGGTTTCTGGATCTGACACTTTACATTTTAATATGTATTTTCCTACAGTGTAGAGAAACGCAGTGGTCTAACCATTCTTTTTAAACTCAAATGTTGGATCACTACTTCAGGTTACTGGACGCTCTGACATGAACATTCTGTTTAGCTTCAGTCATTTGTGAAAGGATTTAAAAGGCTAACAAATGCACAAATATTTAAGAGGGCAGATGAAAATGCAACTTAAATCATGTGCATGTTTAACGGTAACAATTATATGATGCAAGGGGTGTTGTCTGTCTTCAGAATGCCCTGGCTACTGTTGTACAAGGTGCTGTTGTATCTCCTTGGTATGACAAGGAAAATGGTAGAGAAGGCTAATAACCAAGTCTCTCCAAACCCCAAATGAAATAACGCTTTAGCAGCTGATAAAGTTATGTTTTGTGCACCTTCCTCCCCTTAAGCTTGAAGAAAAAACTGTGCTGTGTCAAAACATCTGTCTGTAAATACCTCCTGTATGGGTCACAAAATACACGCTGGCCAAAGCAGTACCTTGGGGCACGGTTCTGTCGAAGGAGGATCAAATCATCCGTGTGCTTGAAGAGAACTCTGAAGACTGTTCGGCAAAAACCTTCTGAGCTTTTTGGGGTCTGTGAGAACAGTGCATCACTCATCCTCCCAGCTTACCAGGATGGGCCTCCGAGTCGGGAAGGACATCCCAGTGCTGATACAGGCTGTGTCAAACTAAACACAGCACGGACCCCTAAGCAGCTGCTGCTGGAAGGAAGCCCTGGCCCTGTGTGGAAAGAAGCTACTGAGAACATGGATATTGATTCTATTTTTGCAGCAATGGGTGTCTGACTCCAGACTTGCAAGGAGGAAAGGGGTCAAGTCATTCCAATTTTTTTTCAGGTGCCACTCTCAGAACCCTAATGGTGTCTTGGTAACTTGCACCCTGAATTCTGCTAAGAAAGCAGAAACTATTTTGTTAATTTTTTTATAAAACAGCTTAGCCTTTTTTTATGGAAGGGTGTTCCAAACAGCTGAATAGTCTTCATCCTTTTACCTAGCCTTGTCCAGGAACAGTGACTTTGAGTTACCCTTACTCAGTGTTCCTTCTCTATTGCTCGACCACATGTTAAGTGCTGCTGTCAAATCCACAGTGCACATAGTGACCATCCACGGCGGAAGGCAGCAGCTGATCACTTGCTGCTGCTTAGGGCAAAAGACTTGCCACCACTTTTCCAAGGAAGCAGTCTTGTACCCTTCCTTCTGTGTTGCTTGTATAGGGGGCAGCCTTGACTTACAGTATTATTGCTGTTCAGTGTTTGTTATCCTTGTCTTGAAATGAAGAGTTAACTGAACCTACTACCTCTGAGTAGGGGAAGGCACAGCTGTGGCCTGCAACAGTAAACTCCTGACTGGTGTACATGTTTCTCACTGTCCTGAAATCTTCTCAATGTAAGTGCAACTTCTGCCTGCTTGGCAGTGTAAAGCGCAGCTACTCCAACATGTATTAATGAAATAATGGTAGAACAAGCAATGGGGTTAGTCGTTTCTGCCAGGCTCTTGCTTGTCACTAAGTCCCAAGACCAGGATCACCAGAAAATATGAAGAAAAAGTTGTCTTGGAATGAAAAACAGGAATCTGCTTTATTGTAGAGCACCTGCCAAAGGAAAGGCAAGGCTGTAAGTGCAAGTAAATCTGGCATAGGTTAACTTCAATTTTCTAGGTTTAATATTGGTAAAAAACCAAAAGAGCTGTGCCCATTGGGACAGAAATAAAAATTACCTTCCTAGCCAATTAAGTGCTAAAACCCCTGTATTATGCACCTTGTGTGAATAGATCAATTATATGATTAGTTATGAGGAGTGGGCACAAACAAAATGTTTTATTCAAAGAGCATATACAGAGCAAGGAGCAGAACTTCTATAGTAGTTTGGCCTTGAAGACTGTCCAGTTAACCAAGATCCATCTTCTGTTTCCTGTGACAGGAATAGCCAGTGATAACTGAAATAGTTGTAGAGAGTCACCCCTCATTAGCCCTCTAGATATCTGATTCAACACAGTCCTACTTCAGACAGACTTCCTGCCATTACAAAAATCTTGAGAGCTCTTATTTCATAAAATGGTATAAAAATACATAAGTATACCACGTACAATCAGATAACATTCAGCTGCTTGAATACTTTTCAGAAGATGCTAGGAGCAAGGGCAGACATCCTAGCAGTGACCTCCATCCTGAATAACCCCTCCAAACACCACACATAACATTCCTTCCTTTTGGGCAGCAGGTGCCCAAGTAATGCCCCAGTGTGGCCTGCACACAGAATCAAGATCCATAGTTTGCTTCATCAAAGGCCTTTCTGGCTCGTTTCAGTTCTTCATTCATAGTTAGGAGGTCTTTAACTCTGGCAAACTTCCGGGGGTCTTTGCGGATTAGAAAGACAATGTCCTCAACCTGTACGCGACCCTGCCGCCCAATTGACATGGCCTTGTGTGTCTGTTAGAGGAAAAGGGGAAAGTCAGCAGGGTTCCTTCACCCCTTAATTTCTTTTAAGCTCACAATTCCACTTTATTTCCTGTTGTTTTATAATCAAAAAGTAAGCAATTGCAGGATCTGGGCACCACCATCCTAGTCACAAGAGACCTCCCCAATAAACCATAGACTTGCTGTCACTCTGCTGACCCCAGCTGCTCTAAGTGATAACACTTACACCCAGCACATACCGCTATATACACATAACAGTAATGATATCAAAACTAAAGCCAGATTACATGTAGGACACCCAGCCTGCAGAGTGCTTGAAGATTAACAGCATCAGGCAGAACCTGGAAGCAACGTGAAGTGCCTGTGTCACAGGACAGTTTAGGGCATTTTGATGAGGGAAGGCAAGGCCAGCCTTTCAAAAGAAAAGGAATCCACAAACAGTATGAATAACTTTTTGGAAAAAAAAGAAAACAAACTTTCAAAGAGTATCCAAATGTCTGGAAAAGTGACAGCTTCAGGCCCCAGAAGCTTGCATTTCTTTTGTAGCGCAGAGCTACGTTCCCATCCATGTAAAGACACTGGGAGTACACAGAAAGTCAATAGACTTTCACAGCTGAGCCTTGTCTTTTGTGAGCTGCCCATGTCATGATGCCACAGTAAACCCCAAAGTCAGCTGTGTATTCCCTCCCCCAATACTAATCTAACTGCTATTTAAGGACTTCAGACACTGTTCTAAATCCACATGGAGGAAGAGTTTTGTCTTAATCTTGGAAGAGCGAAGTCTAAGTTTAGCTTTTTCCTACTAGCATCTGAGTTTTGGGCCTGGGATAATGCAGTATTTGAGTCAGAGGTATTAACCTTCAGAAGACTAAAGTCTTAGTGAGGATGCTGTCTAGAGCTGACTTACCATTTCTGTGATAAACTCTATTACCAGGTCCTCAAGAATGTCCACTGATTCTGTGTAAGGGTTCTGGTCATCCCCGAATCCATACATCATGCATCTTACTGCAGAAAGAAACGCTCAGCGTGAGGCTTCTTTCATCCATTCAGCGCTCTCAGCAGCACACACCTAGGTAGAGCTCCCCAGCCTACGCATTCACGCACCAGGATGGCACTCCTGTCTGTTGGGCAGGACGATTCTTGAGCAAACATACAGGAAATAAGCAGGTAGAAGCCAACAAAAGCCTCATGCTGTATATACAGAGAAGCATGTCTGATGACGCACTCTTTAAATATGCATTTAGCCTACCGAATACTGAACATTGACAGCGTGACTGACCTTTGGCACAGTTAGGTTCAGAGGATGCATTAGCAATGTTTTTTTGGGGGGTCTACACGACAGCTTTCTGCACTTTCAGCCAGGGCACAGAATGAAAGCCGCTGCTTTGCTACGGAAAACTGAGTTTTGGAACTCCATAGCTGCCTCCTCAGAGTTTCAGCTGTGTTTGGGGGAAGGACACCGTCCCTAAAAGCCGCAGGGAGCCCTGCAGCGAGTGACCTGTCGGCGCTGGGCAGGGGTTTCTGGCTCGGCTCGGCTCGACTCACGTTCTTTGGAGAACAGCCTCTTCCTCTTG